TTACTATGATTATTATTTTTTATGGACTTCTTTCTTTTTTTCTTTTTTCACTTTAAGTTCTGGAATACATGTGCTGCATGTGCAAGTTTGTTACATAGGTATATCTGTGCCATGATGGTTTGCTGCACCTATCAATCCATCATCTAGGTTTTAAGCCCTGTGTGCATTAGGTCTTTGTCATAATATTCTTCCTCCCCTTTCCCCTCACCCTTCAACAGGATGATGTTCCCTGTGTCCATGTATTCTCACCCTCCAAAAGGGTATCTGATGTTCTCCTCCCTGTGTCCATGTGTTCTCATTGTTCAACTCACAGTTGTGAATGAGAACATGCACTGTTTGGTTTTCTATTCCTGTGTTAGTTTGCTGAAGATGATGGTTTCCAGCTTCATCCATGTCTCAGCAAAGGACATGAACTCATCCATTTTATGGCTGCATAGTATTCCATGGTGTATCTGAGCCACATAAAGCTCATCATCACTGTTCATTAGAGAAATTGGCAATGTATTTATTTAAGTTAAGGGCATGCGTTGAAGTGTGGTGGAGGATACAGGTAAAGATTTCCAGGCGGCTTTAAAACCTAAGTAGATTTTGGAGCTAGAGATGTAGTGTCACGGTCATCTATTTTGAGAAAAGTGAACATTGAGAGAATGAGAGATAAAATCACCCATTCAGAGCAAGATAAAGATACTAAGAAGAAAGCCTAGAGGGTCATCTCCATCTAAACGGTTCAATTTCTCTGTCCATTGATCAATATGATACCATCCTACTATGTAATTTTTACTTTTCTAATTTGATGTTTGGTGTATATGTGTGTGGATATATATATAAATATGTATTTATATATGTAGGTGTTTGTGTGTGTGTGTATATATATATGTGTGTATATATATGTGTGTGTGTATATATATATATATATATATATATATATATACACACACACCCCTATATATATACACACAGACATATGTGTAACTAAGAAATCCAAGTAGATTCCTATAACAGGACTAATTTATGATAAAACTAATAGGTAGCATTTATATAGCACTTTACAGTTTACAAAGCCCTTTCATGTAACATAGGGGCTGAGAATTGTTTGAGGTCCTTGTAAAAAAAATTATTTGAGGTATTCATAAAAAAAAAAAAGTTGCACCTTCCAGCCTCCCTTTTGAAACATGAGATGCCAGTATTTCATGGGAATTTTTTCCATTTCTTGCTAGCTTACCATATGGAATTGTTTAATCCTCACAGCATTCCAGAGAAGCAGGCCCTGATCCCCACCTTGCAAATGAGAAAATCAGTGTGACTGGTTGATTTGCCTCCAATTAGCATTACTGTAAGTGTAGTATATTAAATGATGAATTATCACAGACTCATATACAACACTTATCTCAGAATTTAGCAGCTAAAAACAACAATAAACTTATCAGCTCACGTGGTTTCTGTGGGGGATTCTGGAATAACCAGCTGGATGGTTCTGGGTCTGGCTTTCTCAAGGTTACGGTCAGGATGTTGGCCAGAGCTGCTGTCAGCTGAAGGTGTGACTGGGGCTGGGGAATGGGTTGCTCATATACTTGTTGATGGTGGCTGCTGGCAGGAAGATCCTCCTTGGCTGTTGACATGAGGCCTCAGTTCCATGCCAAATGAGCCTGCCTCTCTATAGGGCTGCTTGAGTGTCCTCATGACATATTATCTGGGTTGCCCCAGAGAAAGTGATACAAAAGAAAGGAAATTGAAGCCACAGTTTATTGTTGTTCTTGTTTTGTGAGATGGGGTCCTGCTTTATTGTTCAGGCTAGAGTGCGGTGGTGCAATCATAGCTCATGGTAATCTCAAACTCCCGAGCTCAAGTGATCCTCCTGCCTCAGCCTTCCAACTAATTAGGGAGGCTACAAGTGTGTGCCACCATGCCTGGCTAATCTTTAAAAAAATATTTTTAGAGATGGTGGTCTCATTATGTTGCACAGGCTGGTCTCAAACTGCTGGCCTCAAGCGATCCTCCTGCCTCAGCCTCCCAAAGCACAGAGTTTACAAGTGTGAGCCACCACACCCAGGCTGGAAGACACAATTTTCTTAAGGCCCAACCTCAAAATCCCACTCTATTATTCCCATAAAATCCTTGATTACACAGTCAGTCTAATTCAGTGGGGATTACACAGGACATGAATATCAAAAGAAGAAAAGATACAAATCATTGGGGACAGCTTGATCACTGCACTGTGTTATTTATCTCAAATACATACACTTCCAGCTTTCAGCAATGAGTGACTTCTTTTAATATAGGTTAAAGACACTCTGAAAAGATGTTTTTCTTTACATATTTTACAATTCAAGCCCTGAATACCATTTTTTTTAATTTATGAAAATGTCTGAGGCCTCTAATATTCATAAGTGAATAATCAAACAGTAGGCAGTGGCTTGCCCAGTGGAAAACTTAAATGAGGAGGTATCCTGTCACGCTTGGTAATGAACGAGGCCTTTAAATGGATTATTCATGTTATTTATCTGTTGGAATCATTGAAATAAATTGCATCAAACAAGTCCTCTGGAAATCACCGAAATGAATATAACATGCCATTAATCAAGGTGCCAGTTAAATGAATTCTACACTTTTGGCAGCAACACAAGGGAAGATTGTACCTTTCTTCACCTTATATTTTAGGATTTTAAAAGACTTGAAGGGCCAGTAGAAGAGCTTGGATAAAGTTTACGTTTAGCTTCAACATGTGATCTAACTTCTCAGCAACTAGCTCCAGCTGTGGAATGTTGATAGATGACAAAAAAGTGACAGCTGGAAGGATGGCCCTCACTTATCCCAAACCATGGTCCTCTCCTCCACTGTGGTATTCATACACATTGTTGCCCAGTTGCACAATTTCTTACCTAAGTCTATAAGTATGCTTAGGTTTTCCATAGCTTAGCAAAAAGCCTGAGTTGACTTCTATTCAAGCTATTGCCCATTTCACTTATTCGACTCATTTGGAGGCTGCCAAATTTGATAGAAAAGAAAAGAAGCCGTGTCCTCAGCTCCACTTCCTTATCACCCACTTACTTCCCAGGCCCTTGTACTCTCTCTCTTGTGTTCTTCACCCACTCTCTGCTAAAACTACTCTCTCACAATCTAGCAACAATCATGTTAACGCAGCAACCAGTAGCAACATGCTATTGAAGACACCTATACTTCTAAAACTTGATTTGTGGTACAGGACCCTGTGCTTTGTTCAGCTCCCTGGATCTCAGCTGCTTCTGCCTTCCCATGGACCTACATCATAAAACAAAAGCAGCCGTCATGTTACCTTAGTTATTGTCCTCCGCCCGCTCCTCTCTGCTGCCTGCCTTTTTGCCCCATTCACTCCTTCGGCTTCAGCCATCTTCTTATGATGAACATTTCTTGCGTCTGTAATTTCAACTTGGATTTTTTAAATATATTGAGACTTGCTTTATGACTGAGCACGTGGTCAGTCTTAAAGAATGTTCTGTGCACAGATGAGAAGAATGTGTATTCTATGGTTGCTGGATGGTAGATGTCTGCTAGGTCCATTTGGTCAAAAGTTCATTTAAGTCCGCAGTTGCTTTGTTAGTTGCCTGTCTCGATGATTTGTCTGATGCTATCAGCGGCCTGTTGAAATCCCCCACTATTATTGTATGCCTGGATCTCTTTTCTTAGATCTAGGAGTATTTGATTTACAAGCCTGGATGCTCCAACAAAGGCCTCCTCCAATGTCAGATGCATATATATTAGGATAGTTAAATTTTCTGACCACTTACAAGCTCCATGTCCCCATAGTGCTTCAAAGTCAGCAGATCTAACACTGAACGTGTCGTTCCCAGCCCCATCACATTCTATAACACCATTTCCCCAACTTTCATCTCTATGCCCAAAGTCACCTAGCTAACCACTCATCTTGACTTCTCCTTCCTGGCAACTCACATTTTATAAATCGCTGGGCCCTATTATTTCGGCCTCTCCACTGTCTCTTGCATCCATGCCTTCCCTCCTCTCCATTCCCACTGCCTTGATCAGTCCACCCTTTCATTACCTTGTGCCTGACCTCTAGGATCGTCCTCCTCCTATGCACTGCTGTAAGTGTGCAAGGTCTTGCTGAAATGCCCTGTCCACTTAGCCCATACTGTTTCCTTTGCCAAGAATCAGTCATTTCTCTATTTCAGATTTCTAAAATCCCATTTGTATCTCAAGGTCAAAATCAAATACCACTTTTACCATAACTTCATGAGCATGCCCTCCTTTCTTAAAATAACTGCTTCAGCTGGGTGTGGTGGCTTATGCCTATAATCCCAGCACTTTGGGAGGCCAAGGTGGGCAGATCACCTGAGGTCAGAATTTCAAGGCCAACCTGGCCAACATGGTGAAACCCCGTCTCTACTAAAAATACAGAAAATTAGCCAAGCATAGTGATGAGCACCTGTTATCCCAGCTACACAGGAGGTTGAGACAAGAGAATCACTTGAACCAGGGAGGCAGAGGTTACAGTGAGTCAAGATCGCGCCATTGCACTTCAGCCTGGGCAACAAGAGTGAAACTTCATCTCAAAAATAAAATAAAAAATAACTGCTTCATTATCTTATATCTTTAAGCATTCTATACCTTTTGAGGCACATCTCACTTCATGTTGTATTGTCTGTCCTTTCTATTTTTTCAAGTGTGTTGTAAGAAGGCATAGTCTTAGTTAGCTGTTTTCCCCATAGTGCTTTCTATGGGGATTTGCCCTTTGTAGGTTTATTGTTGAGTAAATGACTCTTACTAACAAGATTTTTAAAACCCAGCAGCACATTTAATGCATACTTATTTATTTTTGATTTTCATAAATTGGTTTGCAAGCAGTTCTCATGCCTGTCAGCTGAGACCAGTCATGTCTAGAAGCACATTGGACATGGCTGAAGTAGTGATTGTGTTTGGAAATTGCCATAAACTGGGCTTTCATCTTATTTTCATCATATTCTCATGGCTCCATGCTGTAACTTATCTGTCACTTCTCATTTCAGGGAGAGTGGAGAAGAGAGGAGAACAAAAAGTAACTCCAGGTAAGATTTTATCTAATAGACTCCAGCTTTATTTCCTGATTTTATTTCCATTTCGCCTTTAAAATTTTATGAATTTATTATTCAAAAACTCACACTGAAAGTAATAGTTTATGGTTCTTGAACTGATCAATATTAATTTAATTAAAATAATTTCATATATTTAGCCTTTTCACTTTCATATCAATCAGTATACCCTTTTCATGCAATCATTACACTTAAAAGAAAATGAGATGGAATATTGTTTAATTTTTCCGTGATTATCTATTTAAAGGTAAGTCTTGCAACCACCAGTATTAAAATACAGACATTGTAATAGTTGACAACCAGTTTATTTTCCAAAAGGACTAAGAGTCTCAATTTTATTTCTTAAAACTGCTTATGTATTAGATGTTTTTTGGGACAGTGTTAACTTACAAGTATCTTTATATTTCGGAGGAATTTTAAGAATGCCTTCACTTCTAAATTCATATGGATTCAGAAGTGAATTATGCTTTGGCAGAGTGCCATTGCACATAGTAGGGGTCAGTCTTTGCCAACTAATACAAAATTAAGTTTTTACATTTTCATATTTCCATTACTTGCCTTTTGGCTTAAAATTGTGAGGTAAGATAGTTTTTCATTTACCAAGTCAATCTTTGCCTAGAAGCAGTGTTCCAGCTCACAATGCCCAGAAATTGCCAACAATTAGAGAGAACGTTAACTTGGCATGTGTAGTTACGCCCACCATGCTTCCTGAGTTTCCACCAACCCACTACTCTATGATAAGTGAGAGCTACCAATCACTCCCATCCACTAGCTTCTTTTAACTTCATTTCTCGTCTGGTACGTCTGGTAATAAGGTATTATGTGTGTTTCCAAAAAGTCAGTATAGTCAATAGAAGGCAAAGAGCCGTCTTAATCTAAAAGTGTATTAACAGCATAAGCTCCTATCTCTGTTCTCCTTCCTAACCTTAGCATTCATTTCAGATAAGTGGGCAACTTAATACTTGCATAAATTTCCTGTTAAATATTATTGTTCGTGTTCTCTGGAAATCTTTTAAAGCCTGATCATGAGCACACACACACACACACACACACACACACACACACACACACACAATTGTGAAGGCAAGAAAGTCTCTGAAAGTGTCTGATTCCCTCACAGGTGTGATTAGTTTCATTATTGCTCCTTGTGTGGAAATTATTTATACCGCTTCTAAAATGCTATTGCCATGATGCTGTTAAGTACTGCCTTCTTAAAGAAAATTCGTAGTTTGGAAGAAAGCTAAATCTGATAAAGTGTTAGATCTGATGCCTCTTTAAGTTCTCGCCATAGTCATGGCTTCTAAAATTCTGTGTGATCCAGGTTAGAGACAGAGGCAGGACAAGAACTCAGGCATCTTCACTCTCTGTCCTTTCGTGTACCCCCAACATGCTAACCTTTCTTTTCAAAACAAAGTGCTAGTCACTGTAATGCTTTGTTCCGTTACTTGCTTAATAAAACACTTTTCAACAATTGGAAAATCTTTAAGGCAACAGCATCTTTGATAGGGAACACAAGTCACTAGGGTTATGAGAAAACTCCCTTTACCAGTGGAATTTTTACTGACTTGCCCTATCTGATTCATAGCTTGTCAATTGCCCGATTTCTATGAGACAGTAAAGTCAAGAATAACTAATGGATAGAGCCCAGATTCTAGGGAAATAATAGAGGTCTCCTAACCATTTCAAAGGACAACAAATCATGTCCTCAAGAAATCTACATTTGTAAAGATAGTCTGAGATTTCAAGATTGGTACTGTTTGCCATTATAGTCATAAATACTACAATCAGACTGTGGTGCTGGCCTGAATGAACGCCTCTTCAGGTAAAGTGTGTGGCTCAGATGCCAAAAACATCATGCACACTCCTATTTCTGACTTCCTGCTTGGAATTTTTTGCATCTTTGTTCATTTTTCTCAGATTCTATGTTCTGCCTCCTCAGTTACTATATACCCTGCACCCTCTTGTTTACAGCTGAGTCCATCTCCCAGCTAAGAAAGACCAATATTAGGTTCTGGGCCCTTTCAATCTACCCTATCCTATTGCACTAAATGTATAATAATTGAAACAGAAAAATTTAGAAAACTGTATTGTAGACAGAATATTCCTGTTAAAACCGGGACCCACCAAGACACTCATTTTTTGGTTGGTTAAGGTTAATTCTTTGTTAAAGAGTCTTGCACTAAGATAAAAGTTACACAAAAGTCACTTTTTGTTTAGGATAAGAAGTAACTTCATAACAAGTAAACATCTCTAGGACTGGAAAGAATGAGATAATGTTTGTAAACATGTACAGGGGTTGGGTACCCCCATAAGGAATATTGACAAGAGATTCATGAAGAGTTTGGTTAAATCATTGCTTAAGTTTTTTTCTAATTTTGTATCTATGATTCTACTGCCATTTTCACTTAAATGAAATGTCCTACTATGTATATTGGGGTCAACAGAACTTAAGTGGTGTGCATTTCATTATGTAACTAAGTGAATCATTTTCTAAAGATTACACTAATTTAGTTTGTACTGAGTTTCTCAGTAAAGCATCTAGCTGATGGTGCTAAGACTATGGAATAAAACTGTCCTGTAGTCTATTTAGTGACTTCTATTTAGAGTCGGTCTACCCTGATTGCAATTCTGGCTATTGATTCATGTATGATGCTATTTTCATAAGCCAGAAATAACTCACAAGAAAATATGTATAACTTGGTATCATTCATTGTCATTTTTGAAAAGCCATTTAAATCATATGCCCTGTGATGCTAAGTTTGGAAGTCTATGTCATATCCATACAATATGGTTAGAAATATCAAAACTAAATTTAGTGATTTGGCTTGGTAAAGAATATTATAAAATATATGGTGGTATAATGATACATGGACAAATATGAGGAGGTAAATGCCTGATGTCATCGATTTTCGATTTTCCCTTGATTCTCTTCACTGGAAAAATTTTTTTTAAAAATCAGCTATTTTATAGATGTAAAAATTCCATTGTTTGAAGTACCTTTATCTAATCAGAAGAAAGACCTCTTTGGGGGCCATGGAATTCATGGTATTAGAAAGCAACACAGCATAAAATGCGAAGAAGAATTCTTGTGAAGAAGAGTGCATTATAAATTATTGTTTAGAAAAAGCTATGTTAGGATGCTTACTAACGTGAACTAGGGGAACACCATCTGTTAAATCTATATTCACACATTTCCAAGGAGAAGAACGCTTTCAAATTCAGTTAAGGGTAATGGAAAGAATAGCCCTAGTGGACAACAGAATGGAGAAATAAATTGCATATTTTTCATTTCTGACATTAGAGCATCCCTAAAGTTAGAAATGGTTTGTTCATTTGCACAATTTGCAAAAAGTTACCCATTGAGAGGAACGGTGTTATTTTGTCTTCTCAACTCAAAAGGTGAAATTCATTATTGGAAATTTAGCAAATGTAGAACATCTGCTTTGCAAGCTCAGTCCTTTGATGCTTATAAAAAGTAAGCTTGCAACGCACTCAAAAAGACTGAGTGTGTTGCTTCTTAGAAATGTTCTACAACAGCAGTGGCACCTCCATTTTAAAACTTTGTAACACACATTGAACATGCAGTCATTCAGGATAAAAAACAATAGCTCAGTAGACACTGAATAAAATCTTCCATCTGTGCATGAATAACATGTTCACTTTATTATATGTCACATTTATTAAATACGAATAATAGCACATTTAGCATGATTTTTATCTATGCTATTTCTATTTTTATAGTGTTTTTGCCATAGTTCCTATCTACTATCCAAAAAACTTTAAGAGTGAGAAATACCTAATTTGTCATAGTTTTAATTATTGGTGACCAACATTAAATATATGAAGTTAGCAGGTAGAAGACATTGTGACAAATACATTTAAGTAAACTATTATCCTTGAAAAGCCAATCGTATTGGACATCATCATTTTGCAATATTTTACGTGTTTCATTTTCACTTTGAGAATCATTATTCCAGTTAGAATCAAGCTTAAAATGCTTATCTCCTAACTTGTTCATAGCTTGTAAAAGCGCTTTTCTTGACAGCAACTCAGGCACCACGAAAGGAGCAGAGAAGGAATCTGAGGCATTTATAAATTGATACTTTCAATTTGGTAAATATTTCAATTGTCCAGAACTTGTGGTTAACATCAGAGATGCAAAGATAAATAAGATGTGGGATAAATATCCTTAATTCACTCACTTTCAGTTCAGGGAGAAAAGCAAGTACACATGATTACAACATGGTGTCAAGAGTTCCTTTTAGAAATTGATGTGCAAGGTATCGTGAGGCATTCAGGGAGGGCCTCCTGGAATAGGCAAGACTTGAGTCAATCCTAGAAGAAAGCATTGGAATAGTTTACCAGGTTTAAAAAAAGGGGAAAGGGCTGGCTGTCCAAAGGACTGTGTTTATGCAAACTAAACAAATTTGAAACACAAAGTAGTTAATGAAAGAGAAATTGCCAGAGAGATGAAGGTAGTGGGAAAAGGTAGTGGCCTATTGAGGGAAAGTTTAGTGATTTAATAAAACTGGAGCAGAGTCATAAACAAGAGGTGGGAGATGTGGCCAAACAGTAGGCACACGCCAGAATCAACAAGGATCATCTGTGCCATTCCATGGAGTTTGGACTTTACACAGTAAGTGCTGAAAGGTAATGAAGTGCAATAGAATCCATTTGCATTTTCTAAAAGTCTCTCCAGAAGAGAGATTTCAGAAAATCTCAGTGGAAGTATGGATTGGAAGAGAAATTGACAGGAGCCAAGGAAATCAGGGGGCATATCATTTTAATTAAGCTGTCTGCAGAGAACTGACGGTGCTCCTGTCTTCCCAACTCTGCATTCAGTGAGGTCATATAGGGAGCTTAAAATTGGCCATGGTGGGAGTATTTACATCATGGAAATTGTAGAACACTACAAACCAGGGTCCATTGAGTTTTAAACATTGACCAATGTGTCCCTGGATCTAGGTCTGTGTGAT